TATGGGCATGGACACGTAGGCTACATCATGGAGGGGGTTTTATGCACGTCCAAAATTTTAACTGCATGCCTAAAATACTGTGGGCCTGCCTACAATGCATAGATAAAAAGGGAATGTCAGCTCACCGTTTTACTCCTCTCAAACTTGATATTTTAATAAAGCTTTGGTGATGAACATTTATTTCCAAGCAGTCTCAAGAGCAAAACCCTTTATCGACCGTCTTGACTATTTCGCGATTGCATTGGGCAGACAAAAAAAAAAGCCTTCATTGAGAGGAGGGGAGGCTATGCTTGGTTTTGAATCAAATAAAACAAAATGGGAAAAAACAGTTTTGCACCAAAAGCACTTTAGGCTATTCTTGTTTCATGCGCATATGGGCAGTGTGTGTCACGGCTGGATAGGCTGCGTTTCCACTGTCAAAACCCATGCCATAACCAACTGCGTTATCGCTAAAACCAGCTTTTGGTTGGTCTTAAATATCCCTATCAGCGCTGCCTGAAATTATCACTTTAGATAATATTTTTAATGACACAAATATTTCCACCCCGCCCAGCTGAGTGGAAGCGGGCTGATTTAAGACAGGTAAATTGTCGAACCTGGCGTTAGGGCTGGAAAATGCCAGTGTGCCAGTTTTTACATGATGAAATTGCAAACTAATGTGCGTTTTGACACTAGCGCCACCTTCACGCCAGCCAAAAAATAAAGCCCTTTGAGTGGATTTTTCCTTTAAGCCGTTTTGGATTTACCCACATTTTACAGTGTGTGGGTCTCCATCTATCCTACAATTATCTCTGCAGCCATATATTGGCATATGGTGGTAGTCATGGAAACCACTTGGGAGTCATTTAGACAGCACTGCAGACTGCATGCTAAGTGTACTGTGTGTGTGTGCGCGCTAATGTGTGTGTGTGTGTGTGTGTGTAGGACTGCAGTAAAAGTCCACTCAGGAAAAAAGGCCAACGAATCAGATAGCACACAAGAGCTAACACAGCTAACCTCATTAGAGCGATTCACGCTCTGTCATATATATACACTTAACAAAAATATAATGGCAACATGCAACAATTTCATTGATTTTACTGAGTTACAGTTCATATATGAGGAAATCAGGCAATTGAAATAAATGCATTAGGCCCTAATCTATGGATTTCACATGACTGGGATTCCCAGGGGGCCTCACAATTATATAGGCCTTAGGATCTCGTCATGGTATTTCTGTGCATTCAAATTGCCATCAATAAAATGCAATTGTGTTCATTGTCCATAGCTTATGCCTGCCCATACCATAACCCCACCATGGGGCAAAGCGCTCGCCTACACGACGCCATACACGGTCTGCGGTTGTGAAGCCGGTTGTGCACCAATTTGTTTACATCTTTGTTAGTTAGCATTTATCCTTTGCCAAGAAGCTGATTAACCAGATGTGGAGGTCTTGGGCTGGCGTGGTTACGCGTGGTCTGTGGTTGTGAGGCCGGTTGAATGTATTGCCAAATTTTCTAAAACAACGTCGGGTGCGGCTTATGGTAGAGGAATTAACATTCAATTCTCTGGCAACAGCTCTGGTGGACATTCCTGCAGTCAGCATGCCAATTGCACACTCCCTCAAAACGTCTGTGGCATTGTGTTGTGACAAAAGTGCACATTTTAGAGTGGCCTTTTATTGTCCCCAGCACAAGGGGCACCTGTGTATATAAGGAATCCCGCTATGCCCTCAGACGAACCATCAAAACGGGCAAAGAATCAATACAGGACTAAGATTGAATCCTACTACACCGGCTCTGACGCTTGTCGGATGTGGCAGGGCTTGCAAACTATTACGGATAACAAAGGGAAACCCAGCCGCGAGCTGCCCAGTGATGCGAGCCTACGAGATGGGCTAAATGCCTTTTATGCTCACTTCAAGGCAAGCAACACTGAAGCATGCCTGAGAGCACAAGCTGTTCCGGCCTACTGGGTGATCACACTCTCCGTAGCCGATGTGTGCAAGACCTTTAAACAGGTCAACATTCACAAGGCCGCGGGGCCAGACGGATTACCAGGACGTGTACTCAGAGCATGCGCGGACCAACTGGCAAGTGTCTTCACTGACATTTTCAACCTCTCCCTGACCGAGTCTGTAATACCAACATGTTTCAAGCAGACCACCATAGTCCCTGTGCCCAAGAAAGCAAAGGTAACCTGCCTAAATGACTACCGCCCTGGAGCACTCACGTCGGTAGCCATGAAGTGCTTTGAAAGGCTGGTCATGAATCACATCAACACCATCATCCCGGAAACCCTAGACCCACTCCAATTCACATACCGCCCCAACAGATCCACAGATGACGCAATCTCAATCACGCTCCACACTGCCCTTTCCCACCTGGACAAAAGGAACACCTATGTGAGAATGCTGCTCATTGACTACATTTACATTTTAGTCATTTAGCAGACGTTCTTATCCAGAGCGACTTACAGTTAGCGAGTGCATACATAATTTTTTTTATTTTTCATACTGGCCCCCCGTGGGAATCGAACCCACAACCCTGGCGTTGCAAACGCCATGCTCTACCAACTGAGCTACATCCCTGCCGGCCATTCCCTCCCCTACCCTGGAAGACGCTGGGCCAATTGTGCGCCTCCCCATGGGTCTCCCGGTCGCGGCCGGCTACGACAGAGCCTGGATTCGAACCAGGATCTCTAGTGGCACAGCTAGCACTGCGATGCAGTGCCTTAGACCACTGCGCCACTCGGGAGACTCAGCTCAGCGTTCAACATCATAATGCCCACAAAGCTCATCACTAAGCTAAGGATCCTGGGGCAAAACACCTCCCTCTGCAACTGGATCCTGGACTTCTTGACGGGTCGCCCGCAGATTGTAAGGGTAGGCAACAACACATCTGCCACGCTGATCCTCAACACGGGGGCCCCTCAGGGGTGCGTCCTTAGTCCCCTCCTGTACTCCCTGTTCACCCATGACTGCGTGGCCAAGCACGGCTCCAACACCATCATTAAGTTTGCTGACGACACAACGGTGGTAGGCCTGATCACTGACAACGATGAGTCAGCCTATAGGGAGGAGGTCAGAGACCTGGCAGTGTGGTGCCAGGACAACATCCTCTTCCTCAACGTGAGCAAGACAAAGGAGATGATCGTGGACTACAGGAAAAGGAAGGCCGAACACGCCCCCATTCACATCGACGGGGCTGTAGTGGAGCGGGTCGAGAGTTAAGTTCCTTGGTGTCCACATCAAACTATCATGGTCCAAACACACCAAGAAAGTTGTTAAGAGGGCACGACAACGCCTTTTCCCCCTCAGGAGACTGAAAAGATTTGGCATGGGTCCCCAGATCCTCAAAAAGTTATACAGCTGAACCATCAAGAGCATCCTCAACGCTTGCATCACCAAAGTCATAGACTGTTCTCTCTGCTACCACACAGCAAGCGGTACCGGAGCGCCAAGTCTAGGTCCAAAAGGCTCCTTAACAGCTTCTACCCCCAAACCATAAGACTGCTGAACAATTAATCAAATGGCCACCTGGAACATTTGCCTTGACCCCCCCCCCCCCCCCCCCCCCCCATTTGTTTTTACTCTGCTGCTACTCGCTGTTTATTTCCTAAGCAGTCACTTTACCCCTACCTACATGTACAAATTACCTCGACTAACCTGTACCCCCGCACATTGACTCGGTACCGGTACCCCCTGTATATAGCCTCATTAGTCATTTTATCGTGTTACTTTATTTATATATTTTTTTACTTCAGTTTATTTAGTAAATATTTTCTTAAACCTCTCTCCCTCTCAAGTGATATTCAGTGATGTGCCATCATGGTGTTTCGGTGGAAGACACTTTTATCACAGCCAATCAGCTGTGAGTAGCCAGGTTGATGTGATGTCATGGGGGTTGTTATGGTAACCCCAGGGTTCATCTCTCCTTACCTTGTCTCGGAATCCTTTACATTGGCGTAAGGTCTGTGTGTGTGTGCGTATGGTCAGTGTCTAAGAGTCCTTGGGGAGAGTAGACCACATGGTTGCACTCTCCCCACACAGTTTTCCGTTAAAACATAACAAAAATGCATAAAATTACATATTAATTCACAATGCAGATGGTCTATATCACTCTTCCCGCAGAGAGAGAGAACATTTGATAATTTATGCTGCTGCTCTTGCTTTTCATGAGTGGCACTTGTTGTTGTCATCCAATCACAAGTCATTAACCCAGCACTAGGCTACAGTCAGAGCTAGAGCCTCCGTGTGGCTAGTTATTAGGAGATATCTAGGCTCATCAATGGAAAATGGAATTAAAATGACAGAACTAAAAGTTAAATGAGAAGGACGGGCTACACCACCAAGAGCCAACAGGTAGGCTGCTACTTAATAATCTGAATGGAGTTGTTGTTATTAGGTAGGGTGAGAAAGCGTACAGTTATGCAGTCTCAATTAGCCTAGCTAACGTTAGCTAGTTTCTTTCGGTTTGATGGAGTCAAGACAGGTACTATGTAAACAGATGAGGTGATAAATAACTAGCAATAAGTTAGTCTACCAGTGCGAGTCGACTTGGTTGCCATCTCTCCCTGCTCCCCTTGTCACTCAGATACACACTGCCCCTGCCCCGCTCCCTGCTTGAGCTGCTTCTCTCCCTCATGCATTACAGCTCCAGTTAATTAAGTAGCTAAAAAATATATATTTCCCCTTTATGATGATGATTGGGACCTGTTAGTGGTAGTTGTGACAATTTCCCAATTTTGTTTGAACCGTTTACACCCCTAGTGCAGAGGGAGAGAGTGAGAGTGAAAAAAGAGGAGTGAGGCAGTGAGAAAAGATGAGGGCTAGAGAGGTAAACAGAGTGTGCTTGTATGAGAGGGAGGAGAGAGGGAGGGGAGCGAGTAAAGAGAGGGAGTGGGAGGGATAAAGGGGGAGAGATGGAGAGCAGTGCATTGCCATGGCCACGAGCAGAGGTGTGTGTGGTAGTTATAGCAACAGGCGGCTACACACACGCTCACCACAGAAACACACACACCTTCAGGTCCCTGTGGACGATGTCATGCTGGTGGATATGTTGGACACTCTCCAAGATCTGGTTGATACACTGACTGGAGAGGAAAGGGAGAAAATGGGGTTGAGCGTGAAAAAAGGAGATATCAGTCATCCTTTCATCATTAAACACATGTATGGTTTGTAATGAAAGCTCAACAGGTCTGACAAAGAAAGAGACTCAAAGTAGTTACATTTACTACAATAGTGGCTTTTAACTTTATTTTTGTTACTGTACTCTTATCACATTCTGCTATGCCAGGAGAACCCCTGAAGTACCCCCTCATAAGAATTTGACCAATTAGGTCTATGTTCTTTTGAGACTTCCCAAGTACCCCACGTGGATAAGCCAGCTAGTAAAGATACTGTTGTTAAGACGTTGTCTGCTGGTTGTGAGGCTCAGAGGTGAAAGGTCAAAATCAGTCTTGGGAAAGGGGTGTGGCTGACCCCATGTGGCTTGTAGTGTGTGTGTGTGTGTGTGTGTGTGTGAGACTAAAGCCCTGGTCAGCACTAATCCAATTAGGACATGAACACTTCTAATGCAACACAGAGTATCACCTAACAGCAAGATTGAGTGAGAAGAGAGAGAAGTGAGAGAAAGAGGGAGCAGAGAGATAGGAAGGAAACAGAAAGAGGGAGAGATGAGAGAGGGGGAGAAGAGAAAGGGTTATGAAGAGGGATAACAGGACATGACAATGCAGCAGACATGAATACAAGGAAACCCATAATCACTGTGTGTGTGTGCGCGCCACGTGAAATCACGCCACTCTCCCACGGTTTTGACCTGCGCTGTGCGGCACAGTAACTATGGTAACAGTAAATAGGGATTGCCCACCTGGCATCAGCCTCACTGTAGTACTCCCTAGCAACAATGTCTTCAAACAACTCTCCTCCCGTCACCCTGGGAGAGAGAAGGACAGACGGAGAGAGAGACCGACAGAGACAGACAGAGAACAAGATTGTTATCATACATAATAAAGCTCATTCGTGGATGTGAATGCACAAGCCTGAAATGTGTGCGTGTGTTATACTCACAGGTCAAAGACAAGGTAGTGAAAGCCTTCCTCCGAGATACTGTCATGTAGTCTCACTAGAGAAAGAAAGAAAAGAGGGTGGAGAAGAGGGAGAGAAAGGGAATTGTGGAATATTACAGGCTAGTGGCTAGGGCTCAGTTTGTGATTCTAAATTGGACCTACTGTATGGTTCGTTTAAGGGTTCTAGGGTTGGAGGTTAAAGGTGATGTAAAAGGTACATTTGCTGTGCAATAAGAAGCAGGTCGGCCCTGCAGCAATATCATATCATATCTCAATCCCTCTCTCTTCTTCTCCATCAGTCTCTCGTTCGTTCTCCCCCTCTATCTGTCCCGCTTTCTTTGTCCAAAGTTTATATGAAGCACGGGCCAAATGAGAGGAGAGGAAGAGAGAGAAAATGAGAGGAGGAGTATAAAGAGGAGTATAAAAAGGAGAGAAAGAAGAGGGAGAGCGTGAGAAGAGGGAGACCATTACCTGAGGGGCAGAGCAATCTGGGACACTGAAAAAAGAGGCCGAAAGAAGGGAGAGATGATAGAGGGATGCAAATGGAGACAGCACAATGTTGTCATTGACTCATTGGTATGGCCTCATCCCCCTCACCTCTCATCTTTTCTCTTCCTCTACCTCCCTCCTTTGTTCTGTCCTCCTGGTCATTTCTTTTTTTAACAACCGATTAACAGGAAAATATTTGTCCTGAAATAGTTGACTTTTCCTAATTCTCAATTTGAATAACATCAGTACACACACAAATACAGAGACACAGACTTCCAGACAGAGAGACATACACACAATGACAGACAGATATAGTTTGAAAAAAGGGTTATTTGCAGAGGGATAGGGTTCTACTAATCTATGTTAACCCAGAAGTAAAATATTGTGTAATTTAGTCAGCTGCCTGATTAACTTCTGTGTTCATACATGTTCAAAATTGAGAGTCCCGGCAAAAGGGGGACTCTCACGGGTGAAAATTACGGCTGTCAGTCGCCCACCGGTGGGTGGTCCCTAAAACACACAGCATCGTCAGCAAGCGAATGAACGGCAGACCGTCAAATCGGTGCGATGTGTTTTCTGCATTAGGAAAAGGGTTCAACACACAAAAAATTACGTTTCTTTGGGAAGGGTGATTGGTTCTAGGTGGAACCATTTTGACCCAAATAACCGTTTGAGCCCTTCAATGGTTATTTGCAGTTGAAAAAAGGGTTCAATCCTCTTTTAGTGATAATTCAAATGTAGAATTTTTTGGGACGTGGTTTGTGCACAGCTCTTTTGTGCAACCGTGAGTGAGTCTCATTCCAGTTTAACTAATCTGTTGTGTTATGCTATTACATACAGTGCTATCGGAAAGTATTCAGACCCCTTCAATTTTTCCACATTTTGTTATGTTACAGCCTTATTCTAAAATTGATTAAAATGGTTTGTTTTTCCCCTCAACAATCTACACACAAATGTATTAAAAATTACAAAACTGAAATATCACATTTACCTAAGTATTCAGACCCTTTACTCAGTACTTTGTTGAATCACCTTTGGCAGTGATTACAGCCTCGAGTCTTCTTGGGTATGACACTACAAGCTTGGCCCAGCTGTATTTGGGGAGTGTCTCCCATTCTTCTCTGCAGATCCTCTCAAGCTCTGTCAGGTTGGATGGGGAGCGTCGCTGCACAGCTATTTTCAGGTCTCTCCAGAGATGTTCGATCGTCCAAGTCCGGGCTCTGGCTGGGCCACTCAAGAACATTCAGAGACTTGTCCAGAAGCCACTCCTGCGTTGTCTTGGCTGTGTGCTTAGGGTCGTTGTCCTGTTGGAAGGTGAACCGTCGCCCCAGTCTGAGGTCCTGAGCGCTCTGGAGCAGGTTTTCATCAAGGATCTCTCTGTACTTTGCTCCCTTCATCTTTCCCTCAATCCTGGATAGTCTCCCAGTCCCTGCCACTGAAAAACATCCGCCACAGCATGATGCTGCCACCACCATGCTTCACCGTAGGGATGGTATTGGCCAGGTGATGAGCGATGCCTGGTTTCCTCCAGACGTGACGCTTGGCCTTCAGGCCAGAGAGTTCAATCTTGGTTTCATTAGACTCTTGTTTCTCATGGTCTGAGAGTCCTTTAGGTGCCCTTTGGCAAACTCCAAGCGGGCTGTCATGTGCCTTTTACTGAGGAGTGGCTTCCGTCTGGCCACTCTACCATAAAGGCCTGATTGGTAGAGTGCTGCAGAGATTGTTGTCCTTCTGGAAGGTTCTTCCATCTCCACAGAGGAACTCTAGAGCTCTGACAGAGTGACCATCAGGTTCTTGGTCACCTGCCTGAGCAACGCCCTTCTCCCCCGATTGCTCAGTTTGGCCGGGCAGCCAGCTCTAGGAAGAGTCTTGGTGGTTCCCAAACTTCTTCCATTTAAGAATGATGGAGGCCACTGTGTTCTTGGGGACCTTCAATGCTGCAGATATTTTTGGGTACCCTTCCCCAGATCTGTGCCTCGACACAATCCTGGCTCTGAGCTCTACGGACAATTCCTTCGACCTCATGGCTTGGTTTTTGCTCTGACATGCACTGTCAACTGTGGGACCTTTTATAGACAGGTGTGAGCCTTTCCAAATCATGTCTAATCAATTGAATTTACCACAGGTGGACTCCAAGTTGTAGAAACATCAAGGATGATCAATGGAAACAGGATGCACGTGAGCTCAATTTCGAGTCTCATAGCAAAGGGTCTGAATACTTATGTAAATAAGGTATTTCTGTTTTCGCTCTGTCATTATGGGGTATTGTGTGTAGATTGATGAGGAATAAAATAATAATTGTATCCATTTTAGAATAAGGCTGTAACATAACAAAATGTGGAAAGTGAAGGGGTCTGAATACTTTCCGAATGCACTGTATATGACTATGTTATGGTGTCTTGTGAAAGACTCAAGTATGGCCTTGTGTCAATTGAGGTCGTTTGACTAAGTAAGGGTTATAACCATAGCAGAACCCTTTGATGCCATATAGAACCTTATTTAATGGTTCTTTATAGCACCATACAGGTTCAATTTAGAACATTATGAGCATGTTCTTTATAGAACCTTCAAAAAAAAGGTTCCATAAAGCACCAAAAAGGGTTCCGCTATGGTCACAATCCAAAGAACCCTTATTTTGCACTATATATAACCATTTGTTTTTAGTGTGTACCTAGACCCTTTTTCATCCTAAGGACAGTTTTTGAAAGAAACGGTTATTTGATGATTCTTGTAAAGGCAAGAAGGATTCTACATAGAAAACTTCTGAATCTGAAAGTTTTTTTTTTTATTGTATATATAATTTTTTATAGTGCCTAAGCATTAGTGTTTACCTCACTGTTTAAACTTTAATATCAGGAGTTTCAGTAATCTGATAAGTTTAAAACGATAGGTGTGAGAATGTTTTAAACTGGATCTATATTATGGGCATATATCTGGTATTCTGTTAATCAATTTACATTGACAGTAATGGCATAGTTTATATATTTGCCATGTCTGTTTTTCAAATTAGTATTTTCTGTGATTTTATTGAGCGTAGAGTACGAGAATAGAAGGGAGTCTGAGTGACCCAGTGTATTGTATTGTATGGTACACAGTAAATTGGCCAGTGTTACCAACGGTTTCTAGTGTTGATTCAGGAGAAAAATTAACGCCCAGGTGACTCCGTGGTGTTAAAGAACCCCAGTGTTGGTGTAAATAACCAGAGTTCAGTGTGACAAATGTTTACTAAATTAGGGATGCAAATTTCGTAACATTTTACTGCCGACTAACTGACCATCATTAACCGGTCAACCATTTTTTTTTTTTCTCCAAACAGTATAATGACATGACCAACAGAAAATACTATCAGAGATCTGTATATAATGACGAGATGCTTATGTTTCAGCACTAACAATGGGAGTCGTCACAAGGCGGCAAGGCAGGCGACAAGCTTAGGCCCAAAATAAGCCCATAGAAAACGCATTGGGCTTATTTTGGACAGATTTAGGCGAGAATGAAACCTCTCGCTTTGCCTCTTCCTCTCTGATACTATGCATGCATGCAAGTACCGGACATTTTTCATGAAGTGCTTAATAAACATGCAACAATCTTAGTCAAAAGGCTATAGCCTATTATTGAACATGCAACTCCTGTAATGAAGCAGCTAATAAAACTGCATTTTCAAACATTTACCAAAATGCAATTAGAGGAAAAAACTGTTCTAATGCGAGCAGTTGTGACAGAGATTTAAATCTCTGTTAGAAACGTAGAAAAACTGGGAATCTAATAGCAACAACTATGATGGTTGCTAATATAACTAGGATTGTGCCTTTGGCTTCTGGACAACGAAAAAAAGTTATGAAAACCAATAGAACAGGAGAGAAATGCTGGTTAATGGCATGAGGAAGTCTTTATAAAATAATTGCCTGCACGTTTCTATGGATGGATTTTTGCAAGGCTACTCTGAAGACATGCCTTATTATTTGAAATAAATTAAAACGTTGAGGTTTCAAACAATTATACTGCCTCAAGCTCACATTGCAAAGTGGTGGGTGACACGCTGATAGTCAACAGTAGGCAGGTTATAGTCTATGCACCCAAATGGCACCTTAATTACGAGTTGAGATTGAGAAATAAAAATAGCTCCTTTTAAAATCGTGGCCACCAAAGTTAACACACGATTGCAATGTTGCGCCATGACTGGGTTTACAAAAGCAGCTTTCACTCCAGTAGCCTACAGGCTTTTGAGAAGCTACTCTCGCGCTGTCTGACAGGTGATAGGCTATTCCGCTCCTCAAACTAGGCTCTGTATGCTGTGCTCGTGTGTTAAATAAGATGCATGTTGACTAACAAAAATACAAACGCGGCAATTTAATTCCACAAAATTATGCAAATGAACCTATAGACTGATAAGCATGACTGGTCAAATGTATTTTCGGCGGCTAACCGATTAACATCCCTACTCTGAATTGAGGAAAACACTCAAAACCACACGCATCATTATCATATTTCCCAGCATGCTCTATTGCAGGTTGATTTTCAGAAACGTTTGTTTCAATATCCGTTTTTTTGCATGTACATTGATTGGTTGTTTAATCTTATGCGTTACAAAGATCAATAACATAGATTTTTCTAATCCAATCTGTTAGTAGTTGGATTTATTAAACCTGTTACTGAGACTGTTGTTCCAGTTTAGATGATTTAGGTAGTCTCAATAATCAATCTTCCCTCTTTGGCAGTCATTCCAATGCAGATTGTAGGTGATTAAGGTAGTCGAAATTATGTTATTGCGATGAGCGAGATGCAAGACTTCGCTCTCACACAGTCAAACACAGTATCTGAGCAAGCGGAGAAGTTTAGCATAGCGCTCCAACGCTCTTAGTTGTTGCTGAAATTGACCCACTATGCTGTTTACTTTGTGGATCTACATCATATCGCTGACTCTACGTTTAAAAGTTCCAATTGTTGGATATCCTTACTTTGGCTGGAGTCCAATTGGAATTACACATCACTTTGCAAGCCAGCATGACGTGACTTGCAGGCCTGATGTGGCCTATAAACCAGGAGCTTCAGACCACTGTGTTAGGGTATAACTAGGCCCTCAAAGAAAGGCCTTATATACAGTACCAGTCAAAAGTTTGGACACGCCTACTCATTCAAGGGGTTCTCTTTATTTTTACTATTTTCTTTATTGTAGAATAATAGTGAAGACATCAAAACTATGAAATAACACATATGGAATCATGTAGTATTCAAAAAAGTGTTGAACAAATCAAAATATATTTTATATACAATGTAGAAAATAGTAAAAAGAAAGAAAACCCTCTGTAGAACCCTTCATAGAGGGGTAGAACACTCTGCAAAGGGTTCTACCAAGCACCAAAAAGGGTTATCCTATGGGGAACAAGCCGAAGAATCCTATATGGTTCTACTTTTAGCACCTTTCTAAGAGTGTAGAGATAGAGAGATAGAAAGACAGAGACAACAAACCTATGTTGGAGTGTTTGAGCAGACGGCAGATGCGAGCCTCTCGATCCAGCTTCTGGTGATCTGAGGAGAAGAAGAAAAGCTTATTTCACTTAAAAATAAAGATTTATAACAAGGTTAATATATAGAGGGCGAGACACAGTTAAATAAGATTGTACAAGGTGTACGTGCGGTGTGTAGAATGTGTATGGTGTGTGGAGGTTCCTCGCAGCCCCAGCTGTGGAACATTGCTGTGCCAGCACTTTGCCTAGCAGGGGAACATGATGAAATTGGAACACACACACACACACACACCCCCGCCTCTCGTCGTCACTGTTAGCAACAGACCGTTGTGAGAGGTCAGAGGTAATTTGGGGTAACCCTAGCGACGGCATAGGGAGTGAGTCAGACAGTGTGACTGTTCACTTATTATTCTAATGAAATATCAACTGCTACAGGGCTCCAAAACAGAGGGAGCATTCATACAGACACACAGCAATTATATGCATGAATTCAATCAGAGTATTTGATATCGCAACACTGAATATCTTAAAAACGCAAGAACTGGCAATTTCATCATCTGAAACCCTGGCTAACAAACAAACACGCATTAGACCCACTCACAGACACACACTGCAATACACACATATCCTTCTTTCTCTTCACGTTATCATTTCAGCCAAACAAATGCGGCACTCCTATACTGCTGATAACCAGCCTTACATCCGAACACACATTTCTCCCACCTTTCTATCCCTCCCTCTTCCCCCCCAGCCATACTATTCCTCTAGCCTTCCACCTCCCCATCAATTCTCTGCCTCCTTCCATTCCTGCTTGCCTCTCTCCCCTTCCATCTTTCCCACTACTCCTCTCCCTCCCCCTTTTCTCCTCCCCATGTAGGCTATAGATTCTCTCTCCCCCTTCTGCAAAGGGAAAAAGTACAGAAACCTGTCTCATTTCACTACCGGTGCAGAGAGAGAGCGAGAGAGAATTATATGAACTTTCCATTTGCAAAAAGAGGTAGGGCTGGGCCATATGGGCAAATATATCACTGTATTTTTCTCATTTTTGACAATATTTGGTGTTTCTGAATAATAACAGTTCTAAATATGCTTTATAGGTAGTGCATGGCAACAAATTAATTATATGTGGTTTAATGGACTTTCTCAATTCTGATTATGTTATACTGTTCAACCAAACTTCAAACAAAAATAATAGGACAAAACTGACAGTGAAGTACTCCTATTTGTAGAACATTGCATAGGAATCAAAATCCTATTTTGTAGACTCAAACTCTGGTACTGAACCAATGGTTTACATTTGCATAGCTATTTGTTCAATTCCAGCATTCACTTCAAGCATTTCAATAAATGTCTTAATTTGCTGCACTAATGTGTTAACATTTACACACTGTCAGGTTTCTTTTCTTAATATGACTCTACTTCGTAAAAAAAAAAACTGCATTTTCGGCTTCAATTGCAGTTCTTACTTTCTACTAGGGGTAGTTGCCCGATTTCCTGGGGTCCATTTGGCAAGCTTGCCCTCCAGAAGTTGTTAACTTGTGTGTTAGCTAGCAGTTCTCAGCAGTTTTTTACTGGCGACAATCTTTTCAATCCTCTTTTCGAGTCATTAGTGAATCATTTAATGTAATATATGAAACATAAAAAAAACTATTATAGAAGGTAAAGTAAAAATCTAAACTGGTCTGTGAATGAATACCGGTATATCGTTTTTTTACAGTTTACCGCCCAGCCCTAGAAAAAGGATCACAACTTCCCATTGCATGTGTGGTGTGTGTTCAGCATGGCATGGTTTACTACAGCTTTTGCTGATTCATTCGATTATTTGTTGACGTGTGCATGCCTGTGTGTATGGGCGTGCACGCGTGTACAATGCATGTGTGTGTGTGGTATGTGTGTGTAGTGGTAGTAGATGGGGCAGAGAGTGCTGCAGGGTAACTCATTACTGGCACTTCCTGCTGTTCTCAAATTGGCCATCTGCTCCACCGGGGGGCGGGCCTATAGCCATGTTACATCAGGGAGAGAAGGAGAGGTACGACACACACACCACTAGCCCGCCTCAGATTATGACGGTGTTTAGCGGAGCTTTCAGAGACTTATTACCCATGGGGCAGTGCGCTAGGTCAAACAGGCCCAATGGTGCTAAAAACAACACTTAAATCCTTAAATCCTACTAGACAAACTGCTACCACATGCACCGGTGTGTACACACTATGTATAGACGGATTGCCTGACAACGTCACAAAAACAATATGTGCGCAATGCAGAGGCACTAGGCCGTGTGTTATGATTCTGGACGGTCAGACAGCTAGCAACAATGACAAGAAGCTGACGTGGTGAATCTTAGGTAGCTCGTTGTATCTTCTTATTGATACCATGTCTTGTTTTGACTCATGCCACGTCTATGCTAACATGTCTAAAATTCACTAGCTAGCTAACCAAGAACTGTAATGATGTATTTGAGAGACAAGTGCTCATTGTGCAAATGTATTCATGTTTTCAATATTAATTCAAAGGAAATATAGTTGACGTTGTCAACAATCCTTTGATTCTAAGCCTACTCCGTCTGTTTTGCCCCAAGGGTTGCGCACGCATCGGTTCTGTTGCTAAACAACCCAATTCCTCTATTGCTCCTATCTCCAAATCTTCTCCCTCTCACTCTATTCCTCCTCCCTTTCCCAGTCTCTCTCTCCCCCTTTCCTCTCTGTCTCTAGACACAGAGATCAATGCAAGACTGTCTGAGTCCCTCCCATCCTGGCCCACACACACACATTTTAATGCTATACTGTCCAAAGCTTAGCATTTGACTGCTACCATGAAAAGCCTATAGTTATTGCTGAAATTAGATTTTTTCAGAATACCAAATACCTTCCCTAATGTGATACTATTAACATAACACACAGGCACACACGCAGGGAACAAAGGGGCTAACAGAGAGGTGCAAGTGTGTGTGATCCATGGGGTCTTAGCCCCTGATGAGATATATTTAGTCTAACTGGATTAGCCTCGATACTGACCAATCTCCTAGCTACTGACGGGTGGGAGGAAGTGAGAGAGAGAGCAGGAGGGGTATCGAGGAAACGGGTATAAAGCAAAGAGCCAAGACTGCTCAAAGTGAAGGAACAGGAAAAAAGAGCAGGCGAGCGAGAGAATGCGTGTTGACTGCAGAGGAGGGCAGCTCTGAGCTGAGAGGCAGCACACAGTCCCCAGACACACACACAGTGTGTGTGTGTATGTGCGTGTGAGAGAAAGGTCTGTGTGTTGAGAAGAGTCGTGGCCCTGAATGCCTACAACATCCCACAGTGGAGCTCGGCCTCCTTGGTAAACATAATTACCACATAACCTACCACCCCCTCGACACACACAATCTCAGAACCCAGAACCAAATCTTGAGTATGCATCAAATCATAATTCTTCACCAGAATATTTTACCAATGTTCAAATGTATGATAACATTTGTCACAAGAGATTACACACAAACATGACACATTGGCTCCTCATAGTCAACTCTCAAGACATCCCATCAGCTGCACCTCTGACAAACACCGATTTATATAGCAGATCACTGACAGCTCACAGGGATGAACACCGCCCCACCAAAGAAATCTACCACTGACCGCTGTCTCTCTCGCGCTCTGTTTTTGTGTGTGTGTGTTTTACCTCTGGCTGAGAGTTTCTTGGTGTTGATAATTTTGGCGGCGAACTCCTGACCTGATGACTTCTTCACACATCTGCGCACCACTGAAAATGCTCCCCTGAAAAGAAGGTAAGCAATGATCAGTTCTGGGTTGGGGGTTTGACATTTAGTATACTAACACGCAGGCAAACATAAAACAAATACACACAGCGCACACACACACACACAAGGGTTGGCCATCAACACTGATACACAGCATGGAGCCATAAAAATGAAACATTGACAGTCTACTGCAACTAAGGACACCCAGATTGCAGAGCTCTCTTTCTCAAATACAGGTCTACAGCATTGCTGGTTCTTCCTTCCCCTCTAATCAGGTACTGATCCAGATCTACGACACGGTCATGTTCAGTCGGCACAAGTAAGAAGAACATTTTTCAAAATAGATTGAACCTAAAAGGTAGGCTCTCTATCGGATCTTGTCCAATACGAACATACATTTTCGTTTCCCGTTGCAAAACGTTTTTGCTACTTTGTTCCTTACTGAACGTGTTCCTGGTGAGCAAGCAGACTTTGTTCAATTAATGGCATTAGATTGGTCAATAAATCAATTAACTACTGGGTAGGCCTAGTAGAGAAAACCAGTACTGCAGACCAGGATCAGATTGGCTGTAGTGTAGACTAAAGTCTATACACCGGTACTAGTGTATGTACAACAGTGCAAGGATGGCCAACTCTCTCCTAGAGTGCTACTGGTTGAGCATGCTTTTGCACCAACCCTGCTCTATCACACAGCAGCTCAGTCTTGATTAGGCTACAAGCTAGTTAGATATAACAGGTGTGTTAGAGCAGAGCTGGAACCAGGTTAAACCCTGCAGACCCAAGCTAGTAGAGGGGGGGTTGGCCACACCTAAACTAGAGGACAAACAGAAGCAGGTTAAACTACTCTCCCAGCTCTCACTGGAACCAGCCACTCTGTAGCCTAACGTCACCTACCTGTGTTAGTGCTACTATATCTGGGTAGCTCAGTTGGTATAGCATGATGACCACAACACCAGAAATGTGGGTTTGATTCCCACTTGGGCCACCGATAAGAAAATGTATGCACGCAGTACTGTAAGAGCTTTAGATCTAATCTGCTAATTGGCATATGTTTATATGTATATTATAATATTATGTACCAAGAGGTCTGGGCCTTTATGGCACAGGGGATAGTGTGCTTTGCCCCATAACTGCTGGGTTACTGGTTCAAGCCCCACTCTGGTTGTTCATCCTATATGACTAGACTGTTTATGTTGTTGTTGATAATGATATGAGTAGCATACATGTCAGAGAAGCAACTGTTCTACATAATAAATTACTATCTGAACGTTCCACAACGTTGTGAACTACTGAACGCGGCCCAGGTGTGTGCACTGATAAACCAATCATGGACCAATAGAATGCCAGAGGGAAAAGCCCAGACACTGCGACTATCCCCAGGGTCTGGGGCTAAAGAAAAAGGAATACAAGACAACCATCGACAGTCGAGAGGATCGAGCCACCGACAATACCCGTCATAATAATACAATGTCCCGGTTCTCTCTCAGAAAACATAACAAAACATCGAGATTCCGAGAAACCGCATAACGCTCACCCCTGCACGTTTAATCCACAGCGACATAGCGTGTGCTAGGAGGTTTATAATGCTACTTATGGCATTTATATGACCGGCTGCTGTATGAAGCAAAGGCATGCGGGGTTTTAGTTAATGTGCAAACAATTTCGCTTTGGGAGGATGCGGTGTGGGCTATAGCTATCGGCAGACTTATATACAGCTAGCTAAACCGCAGTTTAGAGAAATTGCATAATATTGTACAAACACAGACAGCTACTTAACATACATGCTAACATTCAGCACAGTTAAGCAGGCTGCCAACGTGCGGTGCCAGCGTTTTCGCTCAAACGCTTCCTGCCTGGCAGTTTTCAGCAGACCGAAAGACAAGGCGTTGACACAATACCAGTAACGTTAGTAGACATTGTTAGCTTGCTAGCTAGCTGTGCTATCGCATATACACATACAAAGTGCCTTCAATAAATACGTTGTAAACTCTGGCCCTAACCTACGACACGCAAGCTAGCTGCCTTCTGTCAACAACCAGAAAAAGACAATAGGATCAGGCTATTACAGCTAGCTAGCTGGCTAAAGAAGGAGCGAGTAGCTAACGTTAGCATACGGGGGTGGGGAGAAGGAAAGACAAGACAGCAAGGCACTGTGCATTAGCTAGCTAACGTTAGCGAACGACGACAGTTGCTTACTTCCCGAGCTCCTCGTAGAGTTGGTATTCATCTGTAAAGCGTGTGGATGTAACGATAGTAGTAGCCATGGTTGAGCGGGGGAAAGGGGCTCCAAGCCTCGGTCAGGTACGGCAAGCTGGGTCTAGGGGAGGACTGTCACCCTCCTATATTAGCTACGGCACTGACAGGCTGGAAGAAAGAGAGCGAGAAGGAAGGGTTGGCAGCCACGCGAGATGTGAGCAGGGTTTTTGAGCAGAGTCATGTAAATCAGAGCGGGGTAGTAATTCGGTGAATCAGCGGTTCGCGAGCTCTAACGTGAAAACGTCTGAAGACTTAAAAACCCTTCCTCTCCTGCATTGAGTTGGGTGCAACTCAATATAAGGAAGGTGATCTTAATATTTAGTACACTCAGTACAAAATATGAAGGACACATTCAAATGTTACAAAAAGCTATACATCCTTTAAAAAAATAATACACTAAACATCACAAACCGATAAACCTAAAAACAAAGTTTTACATTCAAATAGCCAACATTTCAAAAGTTTAAGAGTATCAACAGATGTAATTACTTTCTTATTCTTAGTGAGCATATATATTATTCAATGTGGCAAAGTCATTATTTAATTCAAACCTTTCAAAATATTGAATGATAGTTTTTTCTTAGAATTTCATTTTATAGATGTAATATATAGCAAGAATTATAAACAAATTCATCACATGCTGTTCGTAAATTGAGAATCCTGGATTATCAAACGTAAAAAGAACACCATAAACTTGTCTTTACCAAATATTTTTCCCAAATCCAGCTGGTCTACCCATTAAATAATTACATGCACTGTAAATCCTTTCCTGTTGTTTTTACGGTAACTTATTGGCAGCCAGTTGCCTGTAAATTACTGCAAAATAGGTACAGTATGTTACTGTACTGTATTTTATGGTATCTAATACTACCACTGTAATATTTTTTACTGTTGTTTTTACAGTAACTTACAGGCAACTGGCTGCCTGCAAGTTACCATAAAACAGTACAGTGCATTACTGTAACATTTTTACAGTAATTGTAACAAATGAATGGGTGGATGAATGAAATTCATTGAAGGGAGATGGTTTGTATTATACAATATCTTACCATAATTGCATGAGATTGGTGCAAGCAGGTTGTCTGCTAGGTAATGTGTTTACATATTACAGCATGAATGACCGTTTGGAAGCCTTTGTTAAGGCCTCTAGAAGTGCAAGTGATATGAATAAAATACCACATTTTGGTCTGTTATATCACTTGCACCTTAACAAAGGCTTCCAAACTGGCAGTGACTACAGGGCAAACCAGAACAAAGGACATGGCAAATACTCGACCAGTAAAGGTTTGAGACTTAATGCCACTCCAATATGTCCCCTATACAGTGGAAATCGCAAATTCAACAATGAGTGGTTTGGAAGGAATCAGTGGCAAACTGCAAGCATTGCAAAGCAATCACTCGCCTGCTATTCAGTGGAGTGGGTGTGTGGTCTGCTAAATGATGTAAATGTAATGTAATGTAATGGTCCAAGTCTGTGTTTAAGGGTCTCTTTTCCAAGCTTAAAAGGATTAACATTCAACATTGGCCATGCTGTCAATCCAGCATGACTTCTGCCGTGTTCAAAATAACTGGAAACTCGGAACTGGGAAATCTCAGACTTCAGTGAGTTCAAGACAATTGGGAACTCGCATAAAAACGAGCTCCGACTAGAACAATACGTTTTGAACTGTCATCCAACTCGGAATTCCAAGTCGGGAACTCGGGCCTCTTTCTAGCGCTCCGACCTGAAGATCACTGACGTCATGATTCGACTTGAAAGCGCCATAAATCCAGAGAATGCCTGACTTTGATGACAATGTTTGATGACAAAATTTGCCCACGAAGGACAGTCATGCCACCTTCCTGGTCAAGTGAGCACAGCACAACAAGGTGAGTCAAAAAATTTATTGTATGCTGCTGCATAAATTACATAATATGCCAGGGAGATATGTATACTGTAGCTAAGAAAGTAATACTACATGTATATTGTGTAGTAAGCTGTTAGTAGCACATGTGCATCACCCTAATAATTTGGCCCCTTTTCCCCTCATAACTTAGCCTACTGTTCTGACTTGGTGGTGCACATGTATCCTATAGCCTGTTTTAGAGAAATGTCATCATCAAAAATGGTAAGAGCTTTCATTGTCTGCTTATATGCCCCCTACGGTTCTGACTTAGTGTATAGGGAGAATACTGTAAGAACGGCCCATGTTCTGAATTCTGTCGCTGTACATTTCAAAAGTGCTGAACAAATAGTTATATTGACTACGTCCATCCTACTGTAACTCGCTCATTAATGTCTTAATCCGCTCGTCCTCCCCTTATGCCATATTTTGTACATCTCAATTCTCAGTAGAAACCACATTTGTTTAAGCAAGTCAGCCATATCAGCTATGTTTTTTAAAAAGGCAGTAAATGAGGCTGAATGAACTGTTTCGCTGACAGACAAGGCTCCGCTGATAGCCAGGTGTAGCAGTGGTAAAATGTTGGGACTGCTGTTGTGACAGCTTTATGTAGGCCCTAACAGTTTGTGGGAGTCGTTTGTCACAGTTATAGTGTAATTAATGTATTGTTTAGTTATTTTTTTGCATCACCAAGATTTACATGCTAAAATCGGCACTGCCGTCTAGAAGCCTTGGCGATATTGCATATAGCACTGAGAGGCGCACCGTAACAAGTATGCTTCAGCCGTATTCCAGACACATAACAGCGATTCTTTCCCTACCCACAACATTTTCCAACAATGCACCATCATTTACAGTATGCTGCAGTTAAATGCTTCACATGATTTTACTGTTGATAAATGTACAAATGTACTGTATTAATCACAGTTATTC